TCTCATTCAGGGCGAAACTGATGTAAGTCATGTGGACAAGAAATTAATACAAGTTCTTTCAAATGTGAAAAAAAAGAGTAGTGGTGCACTACCTCTTGCCAGACCTAACTGGCAGTGAGAACTAACAATGACTTTTCTCTATAATTTTGTGGGAATGTGTTATATTTACTCTGTACAAACAGCCAAAAAATGATGCATGAGCTCTAGTTTTAATAATACTGTATTATATATTTTAAAATTATTCACTGCATGGTCAAAGAATTATTATTATGAAATTAGCAATTTTAATTAAAATAAATAATACACAAAATCAAGCAAATTTTTGTCTTTAATTAATTTTGAAACATTACTGCAATACATGTTTCTTGGTATGGAGTTTCACTAACAACAGGGGCATGAACTCTAGCCTCCTCCACAGGCATCTCACCCGAGGAATTGAGTGATGGGAACCCATTGCAGGCTAAAACGCAAACAGGAAGGGGAAAATGGGCGTACGGGAAGGGAAAAATTAGGGGGGGGGGAGAAATTTGCCTGACTTTTTCGGATTGTGCCAGAGTTCCAAACTTGTCCCATTTATTTTTATAATAAGCCAATATTGCCCGACTGTGAAGCGAATATTGCCCAACTGGCTTTATTTGCCCAACAAACTGGGGGACTGCTGCCCCCCTCGCCCCCTGCCAGGTACGCCCATGCCTGCGGAGGAGGCTCAGAATAGATTATAGCGCCATAGGGGCTATGAATATGGAAGCCAGGTTGGCCTAGTTAGGAGAATAATTTATTATTTCTTTGCCGACACAATTCTATTGTTTTGACAATATTTTCATGACCGATGTTGTTTTGACTTTATTTTGAACAAGTCAGTCCAGTTAGTGTTCCCGCCTTCCTGGTGTAACTGAGAGCTTGCCTTGTTCAGGTGAGATCTGAAAACTGAGCCAGTCAGGTTGTCCATACAATTTGAAAGGAATTTCCACTATAAAAATAACCACACAGTGAGGTCTTGCTTACTGGCCTAGCTGTCGCATTATAACAACCCTTACCAAAAATATGCTAGCACTTGAGTCAATTAACCCAATACTCATTAAAAGAGATGGGACAAACAAGTTAATGGATGGCCTTTTAAAGATACATACAACAAACTATAAGAGAGCACACAATATACAAACTTGGGCAAAACATGCATTAATTTCTCAAATCAGCTGAGCAGCCTGAGCTTTGTCCTGCGCCAGTTCACCACAAGCTTATGCATGACAAAACCTGACCTTGGCTAAATCTATATATAAAACCTTACTTCCCTCTTTAATATGCTAGCACATCATAGTTTCATGTCAAATATTTGTCAAATTCATATACATGCACAACCATTAATTCATTGGGATTGAGGGATGAAATTATTAGATTTTAAAGTTATAAAAAGGTCCGTCTACAACCACATAAATACTCGTGGCTTGTTTTCTAAAAAGTAGAGTACATTCTACCATTTATTCCTAACATTTTTTCCCAACACTTTTTCATGAAATATTTAAAATAGTAATGTGAATTTTGAAATATTTGTAAATACCTGTTTATAGTCTGATAAATACGGATGTTTGCTCTGGCTTGAAGTATCGTTTTTGTCCACATTTCGGCTTTCGCGAGGTTTTAATAGTTTTTTGTTGTCTTTCACGCTCCACGGACGACTATGAACGTGTACGGCTTCCACACCTTTGAACAAATGGTCAACAGTCGAAAAAATATGTCGAAAATATCAAAACAACAAGTTTTCACTGCAAAAAGCCGAAATATTTTTATAAAAACCAGGGGGGGGTGAAAACTGTGGCGGGCTCATATTTGAGCCTTGTTCAGTGGCAATTACCATGAATTTAGGGACCAGTAGTCATGGAAATGGCGTCATTTTCACTCAAAATCCGCCATGTTTTTGCGGACACTTTGTTGACTGAACGAAGTATAGGAGCAGGTCCTCCAGTAATATAGTATAGCTCAGTGGTCGTACCTCCTCTGACCAGGGCCACTGTGAGGGCCGCCCGAGCTTGGGCCTGGGGACGAGGATGATGAGTTTGCAGGTTGCCCCAGTCCTTTTTTACAAAATGGCGTCAAAAATTTTTTTTGAAAATCGATAAATTTTGCCCTTTTCTTTTTGTGAAGCACTTGCCAACTCCTCCTTATATTAAACTAAGACAAAAGAACTTTAAATAAATGTGCTTAAAATAAAAAATGGTTGCCAAACAACAGAAATATCACACGTACAAGACGAACAACACGAGAAAACCGCGCGAAAATTTTTAGTTTTTCTGTGTTAGTAGACTTTCCAGAAAGGGTTCGGAGACATTTTGGCGTCAGTTATTTGAGAAAAGTTTAGATACTGTTAGAAATTCATTTCCGAGCATCCAGAAACTTATTGTTTTAAACTTAAAATCAGATTAAACATGTAAAAAATCTTCGGGGGAAAATGAGTGTTTTTCATATCGCCCCAGTCCATATCTGGCTGGCAGAGCGCTGCCTCCTCCGCAGGCCCTCGTTGCGTCATGGGAAGGTCACGATCTGGCGAGGGCCTGCGGAATCTTGTAAAAAAAATGGCGCCGGCGTCACGTCAGCAAGTAAATTTCTACATAATCTTGAATATAAACAGATATAAAAAAGCGGTGTGAAACTTGTAAATTAAACTGGCGACTCTTAGGACGTGGAAGGAAGCATTTTTTTAACGATAAGGTTTGTTGTCCACACCAACGTTGCACGAATAAAACTGCCTTCTTTAACGAAGCAAGTTCAAAACAACATTTATTCATTTTACAAGATTCCGCAGGCCCTCTCGAAATCGTGACCTTCCCATGAAACAACGAGGGCCTGCGGAGGAGGCAGGGCAGAGCGCAAGTAATTTGTTATTTTTTAACATTTTTGTAATTAACAAAGTTGGAAAAAAAGTTTAAACTGCAAAATTAGTTTGTTATTGACTGGCATAATAAATGCCAGTTACTTGTGTCGTTTATGAAAACAAAACTTGCGTCAGGAAAATGAAAGCAAAACATATACTGCATTCCACAGGTAAGAAATTACAAAACAATTGAAACTTTAAAATATTTATTAATATTCAATTTATTTACATTTCAATAGTAAACACTACTATGACAATGGGTACATATTCATAATGACAAAATGAAAAAGCCTATTTTCATTAATACAGGTTTTCCTTAAAAAGATGAAAGGCATCATGAGAAGTGCGAAGATGTAGTTTAAGAGAGCAATAAATGATGGGCAACAGTGGAGGGCAAAATGCCACAGCTACATTTGTAGTAATCATTTCGATGCATGTGACTACACTCAGGGTCGATCCAGCAAGGTTTTTCTAGGGGGGTGCTGGGTGAGCAGCCGAGTGTTCCTTTATAATTCTTTAGGGGGTGGTGGGAGAGCATTCAAATAAATTGGCTTCCTAACGACTTGAGCGCCGAAGGCGCAAGCTCCCTAGGGGGTCCAGGGGTCCGGAACATTCTGAAAATTAAAACCCTAGAAATGCCATTTCCTGCGATATGGGCATTGAATGATGAGCTTCAGTATGACTTTAAAAAAGGAAAAACCTTGGAAATTGTGCCATATTTCCAAATTTGATTTTTTTGCACCCCTGTTGACCAAGGCCAACAGGGGTCACACCCTTGTGCACCCCCCTATAAATCCACCCCTGACTACACCATCCTCAACAGGGTCGTGCAGGCTAAAAAAAAATGCTGTACCATCAGTATTCAAATCGGAATTCAAACTGCAAAGCATACCAAAAGAGGCTAGAAGCCAACTGAAAATGCCTGAAGGAAGTTCCACCCATCAAGGCCATAAACATCCAATTATGTCACATGAACATCTATTGTCCAGGGTTGGTAGGTTTGCTGAATAATTAGGCCAAACACCGTCACACTAGGCCTTTGTGTTCTAATAGTGCACTAGTGATGATTTGGCCTAATTATTCATCTAACTTACCAACCCTGCTATTGTCAACAACAATATCATCACATAATACAGGAAGGTATTAATAGCAGAAGTGTAACTCAAGCAAAAATCTGTCCGTGTTTTTCAATGCGCATGAGCGATAAGCCTGACAACACAGCTGACACCAATATTATGCCATCATTCACCATCCTGGCAAGTACAACTGGCACTTTGTACTTATCAAAACTTCCGGCTGTTTTAGCCAGGATGGCGTGGATTGGTGTGAGCAAGTTAAAATTTCAGTGGACAAAAACATCAAAGGCACCAACTCAAGATACACTTCTGCTATACCTTCCTATTGTGTGATATCATAATCACTGCTATGGAAAACGGCAAAAACTAATACAACAGACACCACTGCAGGCAATCAATAATTCACTTCAAGATGAAGAAATTTCTAAAAAACAATTAAAACGTAAAATTAAAAACTTACAGCAGCAATTGCAAAGATGTAAGAAGATAGGGAACATGGCACAATTTACTGACAGACTGCAAGAAGAGTTCATCATAAAATCGGTGTGATATAAAATAGTCATAAATAATAATAATAATAATAATATATTTATTCCATTACACCATTACTGGTACATAGGATATACTACAATATAACAGATACATATACAAACAATAAAACTATAGCTAATACTTAATTACAAACAGTACAGTCAGAGAAAATCTTGGTTAACTCGTAAATGTATCTGGCTGTACAATTTGTTAACTGACTCTTGTCATTCATGGATATACAATAAAGAAACAGGTCGTTTTTACCTAGTGAACTAAAACGACTATTAATTTCCAGTATCTCTTTCAGGAAATTTTCTTTGAGATTTTCTAACTTGTAATTTTTACAATTTAAAAAATAATGGTATTCAAAATATGTGTGAAAGTTTTGTCATCTGGTCGAAAATTATGTCATTGAAATCGTGAGAAAATAATACTATAATTAAGATGTACCACTTACTTAATTAGTTAGTTTTATTAAAAGCAGATATTTACTTTTTATAAACTAATTCTATCACGTTTTCTTCATGAGTCACGAGCGATTCCTTTACTGTTTTACACTTTACAGTACGGGAAGCACTGCAGCGAGTCTGTCGTGCAGAACAATCGCTGACAACTACATTCCTCAGAAGACCATCAAAGGAAAGTTTAATCCACCATGGATTACTGGTGAAATATTGAATGTGCTCAAAAAGAAAGAAACGGTTCGCCGAAAACTGCGACGCACCATCAAGACTTGTGCAGACTCGATCACGGAAAAGTATAAATCACTTCGAAATACAGCCAAGAAGTTAATTAAGGACAGTCGAGAAAATTTTTTTGCTTCAATGAGCAAGTCTCTGTATTCCAACCCAAAACGCTTCTGGTCCTTCTTCAAAACAACCACTAAGTCTTGCAGAATACCACAACAAGTGTCTTCTGCAAATGGTACAAATTCATTGCGTACCAGTTCAAGCAACGCACAAGAAACAGCTAACCTTTTCAATTATTATTTCAATTCGGTGTTTTTAAAAGAG